ATAATTTGGTTTTGTTTATTTGGTTTGGTTTGGCTTAATTCTTCCTTGTAGAAGTCAAATGAATCTATAATGCATTCACCGATGCACCTTCTGACTCTATAAGCCTTCTGATAATTTAATCATTTTAATGAATGAGAAGTAGATGCTTCATTTTTTCAAAAATAAAGCTATCTCTCACATGAAGCTAAGAAATTAAAAATAGAGAAAATTGTTCTGTAGAAATTTCATGGAAAATAAAATGCGCTAAGTTTTAAAACCAAGTGTCATATACCTAGACTGTATAGATATTGGGACTACAATAAAATAATAATGTGCTCTAGTCTCTGTTGATGGAGTTAAACCTCACAGTCAAGATTCACCTGTAAGTAGAATTCATCAGATTTCAGGGAATTGTTGGCATCCTCATCAAACATCAGGTATGCACAGTGGCCAAAGATTCAGTTCTTGTTTCTGTGAGTAAGTAGAAGAATTAAGTGAGAAAGGTACAAGAGATACTGTGAAAGGGAGAGAAACTGGTCAAAGGGAAGGTGCAACTGGGATGAGGGAAAGGAGGAAAGAAGGAAGGAAGGAGGGAGGGGGGGAAAGGAAGGAAAGGACGAAGGAAGAAAGGAAGGGAGTGAGGGAGGGAGGGAGGGAGGGAGGGAAGAAGGGAGGAAGGAAGGGAGAAAAAGATATATGTGCATAGACACAGGATAGCTTAGATTATTATACTACTGAATTCTACTAATCTATTGAAAGGAATAGTTAATGAGTAATTTTTTTTCTTTTTAATTTTTTTACCAATTTTACATACTTCTATCTGGTAATCTGAACAACTAATTTGAAGACAACAATATGTAATACAACAATCATTGTTGAATTCCTGTCATCTTGCTCAATGAAATTCTGTGTGTTTTCTAATGTTTTTGTTTTTTTTATTATCTTTAAAAATAAATAAAAATTTTTCAAAATGCAAGCCACCGTTAAGTATCTTTTCAACAAAATGACTACAGACTACATAAGACTTGCATATTGTATTGCATCAGTAAGAATGGTGTTTCAGGTTGCAGGGATGCAGTAATGAAAGGGGTTTTTGTGTGTTTGTTTGTTTGCTTAATTATTTCTTTGTTTTTGTCTCTTGCAGAACATGTTATAGATTGTAAACCAGTATACAAAGCAAATCAGTTCCCCGCCCCTGTGGGGCACGACTGCTGCTGGCACAGGCGCACAGGGTGAGAGGAACAGGATCCTTGTTTAGAGCTCAGCTGGAGTGTGGAGAGCGCAGAACAGTGAACTAGGCGAGATTCTGCAGGGGAGACCTCCCCGAGACAGAGACAAGGGTCTGTCCTTGACGAAGGGATGTCAGCATGCAGCTGAGTGAGCCCTGAGCTCCCGGAGCCACCGTCAGGAGGACACCAAGCGGACCAGTGGTGTTGGTCCTCGTCCCATAATGGGAGTAGCAAATCAGCAACATGCTCCTTTCCTCACCACGGTGTTTTATTCAGTGAATATATAGGAGAAGAGTGATAAAAATGGCAAAACTAAGTAAATATTAATGTGTTATTCTCTAAAGTTTGGTCAATTTTCCAACGATTCTTCTTTTTTTTTTTTTTTCTTTTCTTTTATTTTCTAAAACCTTCTAAGTTTAAGCATCCAGAGGGAAAAAAATTGTCACTTAAACTGACTCTGACAAGTTCCTCAGGGAATACTGGCTGTGGTCGCTTGCACTTTGTTGTGTGCTTTTTGATCAACAGCGAAGGGGATCGTATGGAAATGGATACATCTCAAGACAATGATGCGAGGTGCAAAACCCACAGACAGAAGGTTAATCTCAAGGTTTTCTTTATATGAGAAAGAATTTAAAGAGCAAAGGACAAAAGAGAAGCAAAGAAGCAGGGGAATGGACTCTAGAAATAAGATGGGATCCAGGAAGGAGGGGAGATCAGGGGATGGGTAGTGAATGGAATGAAAAATAACAACTGCAGCGTGTATGCACCAGAACCCGTAATCCTTGTATACCACAAACATAGGCCAATAAAACACCTTTCTAAGAATGTACAGCTCTAGCAATGGTTCAGTGAGTGAGAAGGCCTCCCTCTATTCCTTCAGAAGTTCTTGATTTCCCTGTAATTTGGAAGATCATTTCATTATAGAAATGTGTACATGCACTAGACATAAGAAAAAAGTAGGATTTTGTATCTTTTGCTTATTGATCCACTCAATACTCAGTTGGAAAGACTGATATATTCATCTAGCCTAATTTTCCATAAAAATCAGTAATCAACTACATATTCATATCTAAGAGTCAAGGTCTTTATTGGCCAATGCTTAATTTTGTTTCTATCACAGACTTAATACTGCATAATCCCTGTACAGATTCAATAGTGAAAAAGTGAATGTTGTAAGATGAACTAAAAGATGAGTCAGACTGGGCGTGGTGGTGCTTGCCTGTAGTCCCAGCGCTTGGGACGCTGAAAACAGGAGGATCACTACGAGTCTGATCTGGGTAGTGAGACCCTGTAGACTCCATACTCTATACATAATAAATAAATACATGAGCAAATAAATAAATAAAAGATAGGTCAAGTACTGTAAGTCCAAGGTCCGCCTGGACTTCAGAGTGAGTTGAAGTCCAGCTTGAACTGCTCAGCGAGACCCAGTCTCAAAAAGACAAAAAGAAAAAAGAAATAACAACAATTTTTAAAAAAAAAAATGATGGGTCACTTAATTATACTAGTAGTGGGTTTTATAACTCTAGAATAAGATATGCAGCTTTTATTAAAAGCACCAAGTACCATATACATATAGTCTCTGCGTAAAGTTTCTGAACTTCCTAAGTACAATGAAGCAACTAGTATAATATTTGTGGCTCCGGCCCTCTTCAAAATATTCTCCAGGATTTATTACAGTCACTTAATTTGTATCTCATAGTATAGTAAAAAAGTTGTAGGGCCAGGGAGATGGCTCAGTGGAATAAGCGCTTCCCTGGCAAGCGCAAGGGCCTGAGTTCAATCCCCAGTTCCACAAAAAAAAAAAAAAAAAAAAAAAAAAAGGATTTTATTCTTGCTTGTGGATGACTAATATTTTACCGTCCATCTAGACCATGTTCTGCTTATATAACCGTTCATTTCAGGGCACCTGAATTGATTGCATATGTTGGCCGCTTAATTGTCGATAGGATCCGTGTGAGTCTTTGTTAGAATAAGGCAGAAGTACAAAGAGAAGTACTTCAGATGCTCCTCCGTATGCTGAACTTAAAGTCAAGGTAAGGACAGACCCAGGTTTACTGTAGGTTGGGGAGATGGCAGGAGGAGGGTGGATAAAGGGAGATTACAGCTGATCAGAGAGTGCTGTGTGCTGCTAATGAAATTTGAAATTTGCAAAGAAACCCATGAGTAAGTACCACCATTGCAACCTACTGAGGGATAAGGCACAGAGATCTACACGACTAAATTCAGTTTCTAGAAAGGGTGTCTTTATTTCTTGGTAAATGATTACTTTTGTATTCATTAGAGAAAAAGAAATCACCTCCATCACTCATGCTCCTAATGTTCTGAGCGTGAGTGAGCTGGCATGGGTTCCAGCAAGTGTGTTTGTGTGTGAGAGAGACAGAGCACACACACAAACTTGGATGTAGTACTACACATACCAAGGCAGCATCTCAGTGCCAGATCACAAGGCACGACCTTTTATAACAAGGCATAAACAAAGATGGAAAACAGATCCAGTGGGTTGCTAGATCATCTCTAGCTTACTTGGGACAAAACTGCATAAAGAAGTGTTATTTAATCCCTGAACTAAAGAGGGACTCCATATCAATGAGATTTCAATGATGTTTATCATTGATAGAGTTACGTCATGGGGCAACTTCTAAGCATTTATTCTATTTTCTACTTGTATGAGTTGTGCTCATAGTCACAGAAAAAAATGATTCTTCTTAACATCTTCATCATTACATTTTAGTCCATGTTCATGGTTAAAATATTTAAAATATAAAACACAAGAGCTGATTTTAATCTGATGACCATAATACACACACATAAACCTACACATGTCTAGCACTTTGACAACATATGTTTTGTGCATCCCTGACTTCAGTATGACTAGTAGGAAAGGGCATGTTAGAGAATCTGATAACGTGTGGACACAGTTCACAAGGAACTCAAGGCAAGAATTCCCAAACGATGTCTCCTATTAGCACTTCAATACCAAATTTGCAGACTGACATGGATGATTTTAAGCACAAATTACTTAAAACACATATACAGTTTTATTTTAGGGCTTAGATAAATCTTAGCAATAATGTCACACTAAACACATAAACACAGATATACTGTACTTCCAAATGTGGCCCCCACATTAATTGGTCTCCCACTGGACCCAAGCTAGAGTGCTCCTGATAACCTTGTTTGTTCACGTTCTGGAATCAGACCCCTCGGGACATAGATAGAGACACGCCCATGAGCCAGCTGCTAGCTGCACCAGTTACG